TAGCAGCCCAGCAGTGTAGCACTGAAGCAAACTAAATTTTCACAAATTCCTCGGGAATCATAGCTCCTGGATTTTGGACACATTCTGTAAATTAGTCCCTTTGAGGTACCTTGGTTCAAAAATTGTTGTCCTCTGATGCACCATTTTGCCAAGATAAAGATCATAACAATGAGAGTTTTAGAAGCCTATAGATGTCTTGATGTCCATGAGTTAGGCTTGATTCCTGGTGATTACATATCAAATGGTGTTTTTGCTAAAAAAAAGGGGGACTGATCTCTGATAGATTGACTGATTGATTGATAAATTGATTGGTAAATTGATTGATTTGGGATATTTTTAGCTTCCCAGTCTAGTCTGCAGTTTCGGTGCTTCTGTTCAGGTCATAATTGATCCTGCTTAGCTTTTTCCAAGATGAAGAATGGAATCTGGCATGAATCCTTCCCCACTCATTTCCACCCCATAATATATATATAATTAAAACTGAATGGCTGATATTATTTTTAAGAAGTTGAGTTAACTTGAAACTGAAAATAACAAGTGGCCATTTCTAAATCAATCGTAGATCATTTCTTTTCTTCATTTAAAATAATATATTAATCCCAAAAGTGTTTAATATAGTAAACTGTCTATATATTTTCAGTGAATGAAAAAATAAGAATGCTTTACTGGATTGGTTTTTAATGCCATAAAAGTCACAAAAAAGTATAATCTAAATAGAAAATAGCTACATAATGTAAAATAAATGTGCCTATGAAAGTCCCATCTGGATTTTTTTTTTTAATCTCAAGATTTATTAGTAAATTTAGATATAATTTTAATCCAGGTGCACTTCAAGGTGTTGGTGATCACCTTTAAAGCGCTCCATGGCTTAGGGCCAGGGTACCTACAGGACCGCCTTCTGCCACCAATAGCCTCCCACCGGCCAGTTCGCTCCCACAGAGAGGGCCTCCTCAGGGTGCCGTCGGCTAGACAATGCGGCTGGCGATCCCCAGGAGGAGAGCCTTCTCTGTGGTGGCACCTACCCTTTGGAACAATCTACCCCCAGAGATACGAGTGATCTCCGACCTCCGGACCTTTCGTCGGGCCCTAAAAACTCATCTCTTTCAGTTAGCCGGTCTCTCTTGATTTTATGATTTTATGGTTGGTTTTAAATTTTGATATGGATTTTAAATTGATAAATTTTAAACTATGGGCCAAATTTAATTATTTTAAATCTATTTTTAATCGTGTTTATGTAAAAATGTTTTTATTTTGGCTGTTCACCACCCTGAGTCCGAAAGGAGAAGGGCGGTATAGAAATTTGAATAATAAATAAATAAATAAAAATCAAATCAAATCTTTATTGTGGTCATAGATAGCACAGAATCAATTAGATATGTTTGATTATTAATTAATAAAAGTTTATTCTAACAATAGCACTTAGATTTACGGTATATACCACTATCTGGTGCTTTACAGCACTCTTTAAGTGGATTACAGAGTCAGCCTATTGCCCCCAACAATCTAAGTCAGTGATGATTAACCGTTTTGCCGTCGAGTGCCAAAAGCGAGGAGAGCATGGGGGGGTCATGCTGCACATGCCCACACCCATAATTTAATGCCTCCCATGCCTCCCCCCCCCCGCACATGTGCACACGACCATTCCCGCACTCCGTTTTGGGCCTAGCAGTCCTCCCTGAAGCCTCCGGAGGCTAGAAATGGCCCATTTCCAGACTTCCAGTAGGCCCGGTAGGCCTGTTTTTGCCCTCCCCAGGCTCCAGAGGCTTTCTTGGAGCCTGGGGAGGGTAAAAACAGCCTCCCCCACCCCCTCGGAGGTCCTTCGGAAGCCGGAAACACCCTCACAGAGCCTCCGTGAGAGCCCTGCACTTACCTGGCATCCAAAACAGGCCGCGTGGAGACTCCTGGGAGGGGAGGGGCGGCGTGGGCAAGGCCAGCCGAAAATCAGCTGGCCGGTGCATGCATGTGCACTGGAGCTGAGCTAGGGCAATAGCTCGTGTGCCCGCAGATATGGCTCCGCGTGCCACCTGTGGCACTCGTGCCATAAGTTCGACATCATGGATCTAGGGCCTCATTTTACTGACCTCAGAAGGATGAAAGGCTGAGTCAACCTTGAGATGGTCAGGATCAAACTCCTGGCAAGAAGTAAATTTAGCCTGCAATGCTGCATTCTAACCACTATGCCACCGTGGCTTTTACTTCCATTTTCAGTACTAATAAAATACCTTTAAAGGTTTAAGTACGTTTAGATGGTAACAATTCTGCCTACATGGAATTCACACACACATACACAACACACACACACACACACACACACACACACACACAAAATAGGGAAGAAAGCAGGGTGAGTGGGTGGATGGTGCTAAAATCACAAAAATACTATAACATTCACTGAACACTTCCCAATCCCCAATCTTCCCGCAATAAGATACCTACATATACACATAGTATTGGGGTTTGATTTTGTTTTGTAAATGCAAAAGGTTATGCAAAATGCAAAAGCTATGGTTAATGTGCTGCTGATCATTTATTATTGCTGTCCATTTTAATGCACTGTCTTTGCCAGCTTTGGTATGTTTTTATCTCTAACTTTAGAAACAATTAAACCAACCATTTATATGATTGAAGATGGGGCCAAACTGATCATACTATCTGGATAGTTAACTTCAACTGCAGATCAGAGGTGGGTTTCAGCAGGTTCTGACCAGTTCTGGAGAACCGGTAGCGAAAATTTTGAGTAGTTCGGAGAACCGGTAGTAAAAATTCTGACTGGCTCTGCCCCGATCTATTCTCTGTCTCCCAAGTTCCAGCTGATCAGGAGGAAATGGGGATTTTGCAGTAACCTTCCCCTGGATTGGGGAGGGAATGGAGATTTTACAGTATCCTTCCCCTGGAGTGGGGTGGGAATGGAGATTTTATAGTATCCTTCCCCTGCCACGCCCACCAAGCCACACCCATCAAGCCACACCCACATAACCGGTAGTAACAAATTTTGAAACCCAGCACTGCTGCAGATATCCCAACATTTTTTAAAACTAAGTTTATAGTTGGGCTTAGCATCTTCTGGGCATTCAGCTTAGGCTGAATTATTAATTTCCTGCTCAGGAGGCAAACGCCTGATTGTAAACTAAGCTTAAAGGAGGAGTAGCTTTTTTTTTTTGAAGAAGAAGAATATAGTGGAATATCAATGTTTGCAAGGAAGATAAAAGGAGATGACATAAAATAATTGTGAAAGTTAATTTAGGTTGAGTTGAATTTTATCTGAAGGCATGACCCATAGCCATCAATGGGAAATATAAAATCTGGGCCTTGAACATTGGCCAACAAAAGTCAAGAATGTGGTCTATTCCATTCCCAATTAGGAAGCTTCATGCTTCACCCTCTTTGTGAGTGGTGTGGTGGCCTAGAGGTGGAGCTGTCGCCTCACAATCAGCTGTGAGTTCAATCCTAGGTAGAGGGAGATATTTCTCTTTCTGGGCATGATGAGAATATATCTGCTGAACAAAACTCAGCATTGGCAACAGGAAGGGCATCCAGCCAGTAAACACTTTGCTAGCTCCATTCAGTTGCCTAGACTCCACCCTGCAAGGGATTATGGGGTCATTAAAAGAAGATGACGATGTTTTGCCCTCTTTGTATCTTACTTTGTTAGTGTAGGAGATAACCAGGCTGAGCCCAATATCAGAGTCAAATGCATTATCAATCTAGAGTCCCTACAACATGAAAGAGACCTAAATCCAACCTCCCCTTGAAGTCTGTTGCCTCTTCTGGAGCCAACTTGCCTTGACCTTTAATAGATCAGATTCTTGGGTATAGGTAGCATGACATAAACACAGAGTGCTTTTGAACTCTATCCTGGCTCCTGTTTTTTTTTTTTGCACCTGACAATTCTCATCTATACCCAGAATCCAGTCTTGGCAAACACCCATTCAGATTGGCCGCAGCATAGTCAGTTGATTATTCCTTCTTTCTTTTTAAAAAACATGAGATAGTTTTTGAAAGCAGCAAATGAGTTTGGCATCACGTGCCAAGCAGAGGTGGGCTTCACATAATTTAACAACCAGTTCACCCCAGCACCGAAAATGCATGTGCGCAGCCTTCTGTGCACGTGCTTTGCTCATGCGCGCACTTGCACGCATGTGTACAGCTTTAAAAACACAGCTAAATAGGATGGTATAACACCAGGGTGGGAAGGTGGGGGCAGGCCCACCTGCAGGTCAAAACTACCAGTTCTCCTGAACCGCTACGAACCGGCTGAATCCCATCCCTGGTGCCAAGTGTTTTTTTTTTAAATGAGCCACTCTCAGATTTCCCCCAAAATTGACTTTTTAAGCAATGGCAGTTGTCAGAGGGGTGAGGAATGAGGAAGAAAACCATTGTCAGCGATTCAACACTGGCATAGAGAGCAGAGGAGAGAGAGAGATAAGCTCTGAACTTTTGCCTGCTAAATCCCTTTGAAGTCGGGTTGTCGTGGAAATGAAGAGGGGGGGGACATTCCTGGGAAATGATGAGACAAGAAGTCTGAAGAATGTCTTGGAAGATAGCCAATGAGAAGCAGAGATTTGGGGATCGGAAAGGGAGGGATTGGGGGGCAAAAGGTCAGTCTTGTCCGCATCGAGTCATGATCCGGTGGCTGTGCTCAATTAAAGAAAAGATTTCCTTAAAGATTGGCAGTTTGGAAATTCATTTATTTTGAGATAGCATTGAAGTCTGACAACCATATTACCTTACGACAGCCCTGGAAAGGTTTTCCTACTGTGTTTCCCCAAAAATAAGACCTTCTCTTATATTTTTTTTTGAACCCTGAAATAAGCGCTTGGCCTTATTGCCATGCGCTCAAAAGCCCGATTGGGCTTATTATCAGGGGATGTCTTATTTTGAGGGAAACAGGGGAAGTCTTCTATCAGGTGCATCAATAATTTCTGAAGATGCCCCTGTCCAGTTTTCCCCAGGGAGCAAGGACCAAAATCTCAACCCCTTTTGTTGCTCTTTGTTTGCAGATTCAAGACCTCTGCCAGATGTTGCCCTGACGGGAAAATGCACCCGAGAATGCGATGAGTATGGCCACTCTGACTCCTGTTGGATGCCCGTCCGCACTTCACCCGAAAGGAAGCCGAAAAACCAGCCCAAACTCTCCACCTTCATGCCCGTCGACGAACGGGGAAGCCCGGAGAAGCTGGCCAACGGAGAGGCCTCCCTGATGGGCGATCGCAACAGGAACCTCCTAAACAAAAAGTTAACCTCATCTTATGAGACCTTCAGTGCAGCTAGCTTCAGCAAAAGCGAAGAAACCAACCCAGAGGATATTCCCCTGGCGCAGACAGGGGAATACAAGCCATCTACTATCAATACTTTAACTCGAAGGGAAGTTTATCTCTAGGGGATCAGGAAGTAACAATGCCGGTTCTTTCCCAGAGCAGAAGGCTCAAAGCCGATCACTCAAAACCATTGGAAATTGGGAAGGAAGGAAACTAATCTGTCGAAACCAAGGGGGCTAACCAAAGAGACAAAGGCCTGGCTTGCCTCTTCTGCCTCCCTGCCAGGCATTTACATATCCTGTCTGCCTGACTTATATTGTACAATGTAGAAACCATTGTTGTCCCTGCATGTCTTTAACACCGTACTCACCTGTTTTTTTGTTTTTTTGTTTTCCTTATGATTTTATTTTAATTTTCCAAAAGTTACCGTTATAAATTCCTTGCTAGGGAAAACAAACCTGAAATTGGAAAAAAAAAAAAAAAGGGGGGGGGGGGAAACATGAGATAGAAATTCTGATTCCCCTCCCCAGCACACACAAAGACACACACACACACACACAAACATACATGCACACAGAGAGAGGGACAGACAAATAGACACGTGCCGCTGAAGCATTGTTTGAGCCCCTCTGATTGTCGTCTGCTTGTTTTCCAAATCGCCGGTCAGTGGGGAAAAGACTGTGCACGTAGATCTATGCGTTGCTATGCGTTCCCATGTCTGGTTTCCATCGGAGATAAACCTTCGGAAACCCTACAAAAGCAATGTGCAAAATAACTTTTTTTTAAAAAAAGAGGAAGAAGGAGAAGAGGGAAAAAAGCACTTTTTAAAGGATCATATCTTTAATACAGCCCTGTGGCTGGAAACAAGAAAGAAAAAGGAAAAAAAGAGGGGTGAGGAGGATATTCAGCCTGAGATTGTAGTCCAAAATATTACACATTCCCTAAAATCACGACCTGTATATTTAGTTTTGATTGACAGAAAAATATAGATGTCTATCTCTTTCTAGTTTTATTATTTTTACATGTCTTTCTTCCTTCCCCTTTCCCTCCTCCCATTCTCTAACATTTTAACTTAAATATAAAATGATGGAATACATATATAAACACACTGACACACATACAAACACAAAAACAAGTATACATGTACACAACAATGAATGAATGAATGAATGAATGAATGAATGAATGAATGAATGAACGAACGACGGGGCATGACTTATCAATATCAAGAAACGGCTGAGCCTGGTGTCATTTTCACAAGACCAACATTTAGATTGGATGATCATAGTAATTTAAAGACCAAAGAACACACTATGGATCAAGGAAATCGCTCGTTGGTCTTGTCATGTAAAATTTGATCCAGGAACACACTGACAATTAAGCATGATGATTGTTGTCAACATGGATTTTAGTTTGATGCCCAAAGGAACTGATGACATGAGCTTGCTGAATTAAAAAATAATAATAATAATGTGATTACATTCACCAACTATATTAAACATGACCCTCTGGCTTCAAAATATGTTTTCCTTAGAAAAAATTACAAAATCCATCTGACAAGCTTCAAAACACGTTCAGGGGATAGCTGAAAGAAGAGTGAAAATGAAAGCAGTAAGAAGAATATGCTTCAAGTCAAAACATGGCAGCATCTTGGTTGAGAAGGGATGCTAATTTTTGGGTTCTCGCAGTGTTCCAGGTTATTCATTTGCTGTAGGCAAAGGTGTTATGCAGGTTTTTCTTAAAACACAAGTGCATTTAAGCTGAGTCTCGTGCAATACCCAACCCATGTTGAGACTCCAGGCGACCGAGAGTCTCGGCAGACGTCACTCCCAACATGCAAAATGGCGCGGCTTGCGACTTCGTAGAAAGCATCCAAGCCAGATCATGATTGCGTAGAGCTCTGGGTCGTGACGATTTGTATAGTTTTGCACTATATACAGGGGATAGGAAAAAAAATGGACCAGATAATTTTTTTTGTTGTTTGTTTTGTGCAATAAGAAGTTGCAGAGTATGGAAAACTGAGCTAGTTCTGTATTGATGATTAAAAAAAAATAATAGTAATAAAGAATGGACATTCAAATAAACCTGACAATCGGTCAATGCAGTGGGAACAGCTTGGGAAGGGTGCAAAAACACCATCTTCTCGGGTTGTTTAACTTGACATTAAAGCATGGATAGATGGTTCTAATAGATTTAGTGACAAGGTAGCTTGGATAGTTTACTTTAAGAGTGACATAGAATATATTATTAGACAGTTTGACGTATGGGCCAATCAGCTGGTACAAATCCCTCATGACTTTTGTCTTTTAAACTCTCAATAGCAAAGTGCTCTTTTTTTGAAAAAAAAATGTACTTCTTCTTTGCATTTAATCATCCGATTGGTTCTTAGCTTGCGTGTAGCAACTGAACATATTGGCGCATTTTAGAAATGGAGAAATGTCAAAGGAAAATTTAGGAGTTGAATTGATCATTCTAATGCATCCTTTTTTAAAAAAAAAATATAGATAGATAGATAGAAAACAGAAATTCAGATTTTGACTGGATTAGAGGACTGACTAAATCCTTTCCTGTATTTGTATAACTCTTAAGTATATGTTAAAGGCAAAATGCTTGTGAATATATTTGCATTAAATATGCATATTTTTTTCAGGCTTCAACCGAAAACACCATCAGCCACACGAAAGAACAATCGAATATTTTCTCTGTGTAGAATTAGGATACACCGAGCATTATTTTAGAGACACTAAATGGTAGCAGTCTGAATCGTCGTTCTTTTTAACCTCATTTCTAAAGAGCCAATACGTTAAAACAAGACTTTTCAGAATTATATGGATTAGCCTGTATTCCCCTTTTTGCGTGCTACATTAACGGCACATATAAGACTGAACAGTTTAGCTAATTTAGTTGTAGTGATAAGCCCAAAGGATGTCAAAAAAGTAAAAAGAAAAAAAAAAGAGAGAAAAAAGAAAGAAAAATAGGTGTGCTTGTTTATATGTTCAGTAATCCTAGTAAAACCTAACCATCAAAAACATAATCAACAGCTTCTCTTACTACCCAGCATGATCCACAGATATATATATATTTTTTCGTGTACGTTTTTCATTTGAAATTAGTCGAATTGGGAAACACTCCTTCTATAGAGTGCTTTTATATTAAATAAACAAATACATTAAAAAAAATGGAAATGGAAAGTTTTAGAGTGAATGCAAAATATGCAATTGTGCCTTTTATACTGTTGTCATGGTAAAACAGCACTTGGGTTACACACTAAAAATACTGGGCAGTTCCCACTTTTTTCAACCTGTATATTTAACCCGGTTTATTTTCTGAAAAGCATCAAATGATATATTTTTTAAAAAGGGGGAAAAAAACCTTCTGCCAAACTCAAATAATAGACCAGTCCAGGAGTAAAATGCACTTTACTTTCCTACCGGCTCGCTTAATGTGCGTCCCAGTTTGACAGGGGCGGAGCCTCCCACTGGAACTACCAGTTCGCCAAACCACCTGCGGCCGCCGCTACCGGCTTGCACGAACTGGATAGAGCCAGCTGCATTTCACCCCTGGACCAGTCTTAAATATAATCCATTAAAAAAACAAAGGAAGAAGAGAAAGACTCTGGTTTGGGAACAGGTTTGAACAGGTTACGTTAAAAAGCTACAGTATTGATCTCCGTAATAAGAAATGATGACTCTCTTTTTTGAGGGCAGAGAAATTGACGAATCTTTGTTCATGCTCTTGTTGCTTTTTTAAATATATGAAGGTTTGGGGTTTTTTTTGCAGCCATTTTGTTTTAATCGCTGTCTTAGTTCGATTTCACGAGGAACTCAAGTGAATGTGTTTTGCACACTCCTAGCTTGACATGCCACTCATGTAAACTTTATATGAATTAGAAGAAGAAAAAAAAGTCATATTAACTTTGATATAAACTCTTGCGCTCATACCGACCTCCAGCTAGGCTAATATATAGCCAGTTTCATTCCTGACTGGCCTACTGTCTGACTTTCTTGAAAACAAGATAGATGCTATTTTTATGTGGGAAGTGGGCGGGGGGGGGAAGAACTGCGGTGAACAGATGGAAGGTGTTGGAAGAAATACTACCCTAGGAAATTGTCATTGTTGGAAAGCAAAGGTGTGGGGAAATGGAAATGGGGCTGGAAAAAAAAAAAGAAAGAAAAAGAAAGCATGTTAAGTACGACCATCACTAACAAGACTTGAGCAGCATTTGACAAGGCGAAGAATGGAACAAGTTCTCCAGATGTTCCATCAATGGTTAAAGAGCCAATGTTCTCTTAAGTGCTGAAAGGAACAACACTAATGTTGGACAATTCCTTGAAGGAACTTGGAAGAAGGCATCTTTCCTAGCTACCTGGGGTACCCTTTCAGGCCCTTCTTTTCCTGATTTTTTGAAGCACTTACATTCAGTGTGGTTACGATCCGTTGTATTATTAATCATTGACTATTGTTCTGCTACTTGGATGTTAATAGTGAAGCAGAGAAACAACTTATTTGTTTATTATGAGTCACTATGCACGCAACTATGCTAAGGAAAAAAAAAACATGGCAAAAATGTACTCGATGCTAGTCCACCTCTATTTATGAAAGATTTTGCATAATTTTATTTGCTTTTGTACAGTTTTCTGTAAATAAATTGCTTGTCATTTTTTTTTGTCTCTGCAAATTAAAATATAACATGTTAAAATGGACACGTCTGTGTTTGATTTCCAGAAGTAGCAGTACAAGGAGAGGGGAGAGACTGTAAGTTTAAGAGTCACCTGGTCGTGCGATGGGCAGCAAATAAATTTAACAAATAAATAAAACAGGCTGACAACTAGACCAGATCCACTTTTGGAGACATTTACCTAGAGCCCTTCGTTAGCATCATAATGCCAACTTTTTAATACAACATGAACTCTCTAGGAAGGTCTTGAACAAATATAAACATAATAGATGTGAGATCTCATTTTATTTCATTTTATTCCGTGTAGCGTGCTCATTCTGGAGCTATTCATCTATCAATTAAATACATGTAGTCGGCTTTTAAACCTAGTGGAAGCTACTAAAGTTGCAGGATCCACTCTGAGTCAGGCTCCAGGACCAAAGGTTTATTCTTCCAAGCTTTCAGATTCATTCTGAGGCCCATCTTCAAGAACTTCTGAGCAGAAGGTTGGACTAGAAGACCTCCAAAGTCCCTTCCAATTCTGTTATTCTGTTCTATGGGCTCCAGCACGAACCTGAATGCTTGGAAACTTTTGATCCTAGTGACCAAGTCAGGTGTTCTCTCCAAGTATTAAACTGAACCTGACCCTATTTTCTTTCTGAATCAACTCCAGCCTAGCCTGATTCTACCAACTACAATGACTTGATAGAATAGAATAGAAAATAGAATAGAATAGAAAATAGAATAGAATGGAATGGAACGGAATGGAATGGAACGGAATGGAACGGAACAGAGGAATGAAGGAGTAGAGTAGAGTAGAGTAGAGTAGAGTAGAGTAGAAAAGAACAGAACAGAACAGAACAGAACAGAACAGAATAGAATAGGACAGGACAGGACAGGACAGGACAGGACAGGACAGGACAGGGGAATGAAGGAGTAGAGTAGGGTAGAGTAGAGTAGAGTAGAATAAAGTAGAGTAGAGTTGAGTAGGGTAGAGTAGGGTAAGGTAGAACAGAACAGAACAGAACAGAGCAAAGAAGGAGTAGAATAGAGTAGAGTAAAGTAGAGTACAGTAGAGTAGAACAGAACAGAACAGAACAGAACAGAACAGAACAGAACAGAACAGAATAGAATAGAATAGAATAGAATAGAATAGAATAGAATAGAATTCTTTATTGGCCAAGTGTGATTGGACACACAAGGATTTTGTCCTTGGTGCATACGCTCTCAGTGTACATAAAAGGAAGAAAAGAAAAAAGAAAAAGGGAAAAAAATACATTCATCAAGAATCATAAGATGCAACACTTAGTGATAGTCATAGGTTACTAATAAGCAATCAAATCATACTAGGAAACAAACAGAACAATAGAATAGAAACAAACGAACAGAACAATAGAAGTAGACAAAACCACTCAGAATAAGTAAATATATTTTGTTCTCAGGGAGCACGCTCTACTGTAGTAAACAATGCCTTAGTAGTTTTTGTCACATTGAATTGAGCCTCAAAAGATAGATCAGGGAGTGCATTGCCTTATCTGGATTCCCTTATCTGTATTGAAACAATTCCAACTTTACCTACCTACACATCCCTAGTTGTTTCTGTCCCTCAACTTTTCCAACCATAATATGGTAATAATTTGACCTTGTTGTTGACACTTCTTGTTGTTAGTTGTGAAGTCATGTCTGCCCCATCACGACCCCGTGGACAAAGTTCTTCCAGACCTTCCTGTCCTCTACCATCCTCCGGGGTCCATTGAAGCTCACGCTGACTGCTTCAGTGGCTCCATCCAGCCGCCTCATTCTCTGTCGTCCCCTTCTTCTTTTGTCCTCAATCGTTCCCAGCATTAGGCTCTTCTCCAGTGAGTCCTTCCTTCTCATTAGGTAGCCAAAGTATTTGAGTTTCATCTTCAGGATCTGGCCTTCTAAAGAACAGTCAGGGTTGATCTCCTCTAGGAGTGACCGGTTGGATCGCCTTGCACTCCAAGAGACTCGCAGGAGTCTTCTCCAGCACCAGAGTTCAAAGGCCTCAATTCTTTTGTGCTCAGCCACTAGATGGCCACTAGATGGTGGCAAAGTTGCAGAAAAGTCTAGCTCTCTCTTGGCTGCCATCTGGTGGTAAGCGGGAGTTTTGTAGACCAATTCAGATAGTTATCTCTCTATCCCTCCACACAGCCTAAGGAACCCTGCAAAGATATGCCAATCTTTCTCAATCTTACATTATGTGTTGGATTTCATTGGCAATTAGAATCTTCAAAGCATTAATATTATTTGTGCTTATTGTTTCAGAAGTTAGAATATAACAGCATTGCATATATTGGTTGACTATAGCCATTCTCACATTTCAGAAAGATGAGCTTCTGGCGGAGATGAATTTTGAAAAGTAGAACTGTAACATTTCTCACCCGCTGCCTTGCGTGATCCCTTGACTGCTTGCTGAGCACATAAATATTTCCTCTTAATTTGTAATTCAGCTTTATGTTAACCAAATCTGTCTGTGATTTTCCCTATCTGAGATCTGAAAAGAAGTCAGCATAAATATCTTAATAGCTGCCATCTTTTGATAGATTTGCAGAGAACTCTCTGTGGCGGTTATTGTAACAAGTCCTGCCGTTTGTAAGGCAATCCTGACATTTCTCGCTACATTCTGCTGTGGATTTACCACATTGCATTTGCTTATATTGATTTATTTGGCTTGATCAAATTCTCATAACAGACTTTAGATTTGTACTAATCATTGCACTGAACTACTGTATATCTTAAGCATGCTGGCCTCCTATGAACATTGACTTTCTTTCTTTTTTTAAAAATTTGATTTATATGCCGCCCTTCTCCGGAGACTCAGGGTGGCTTACAATGCGTTAAGCAATAGCCTTCATACTTTTGTATATTTATACAAAGTCAGCTTATTGCCCCCACAAACTGGGTCCTCAATTTACCTACCTTAGAAAGGATGGAAGGCTGAGTCGACCTTGAGCCTGAGAATTGAACTCGCAGTAATTGCAGGCAGCTGGATGTTAAATGCTGCCTTAGGAGGCATTAGCCTCCTACGCCACTCAGGCTTCATAAACCTAACTACTCAGAGTAGTTAGGTTTATGAAGCAGTCCAGATACTGCTTCATCCTCTCATATATGTTTAGTTGTGGATATGCAATATTATTTCTGACCCCTGGCCTAATAGTTCTAGAAGGGAAGTCAGCTAGCTCTAGTAATTGCTATTTAATTGCAATGTTAATTACTGCATTATTATAATTATTACAGGAAAAAAAATCTAAAACACTTCCCCCCCCAAAAAAAAATCTATTTCACTAATCTCCCCACTCCCCAGCATTGTGCAATAGTTATGTTCTGCAATGAACGAATATATGCAATTGATGATAGGAAGAACAGGAAAATTTCCACAATTTTCGCTTACCAGCTGAATACCACCTCTGATGGTCAGCCACACCAAGTAGTTTAGACAAGAAGCACATCAGAGATAGGTTTCAGCAGGTTCTGACCAGTTCTGGAGAACCGGTAGCGGAAATTTTGAGTAGTTCGGAGAACCAGTAATAAAAATTCTGACTGGCCCCGCCCCCATCTATTCTCTGCCTCCTGAGTCCCAGCTGATTGGGAGGGAATGGAGATTTTACAGTATCCTTCCCCTGCCATGCCCACCAAGCCACGCCCACCAAGCCATGCCATGCCATGCCCTCCAAGCCACACCCACAGAACCGGTAGTAAAAAAAATTTGAAATCCAGCACTGAAGCACACCCAGAAGTACTAACTCTTACTTTGATTTAAGGTTACCTTAACTCAATCTTGAAAATCTGTTATCTCCCCTCCCCCTAGCCTTTATGGTAAAAGGGATTAGAACAGGGTTCACCAACTTTTTGGAACTCAGGGACTACTAAATTCATAATATTAAATCCTGTGGACCGCTAATATGATCAGCCTAATGACTGGTTGGGTGGGCGTGACTAGGTGGTCATGTGACTGGGTAGGCATGGCCAACTCGATGTCACTCATGTCGAGGGGCACCTCACCAGCCTCTACTCACCCCCCACCCCCCAGCCACTCCTCACCTCCTCACCCGGGCTCCTTAGGGCACCAACAGGAAGCAGTTGTTGGAGCTAAGCAGCCACCACGAGAAAGAGTTGGCAAAACAGCTCAGTTCAAACTGGATCTGATCGAGAAGGAGGCTCAGAAGAAGCACCTCATTGAGGACTACGAGCATAGGCTTTCCAAGCAGTGAGAAGACCTATGGGGGTGCAAAGCCAGATACCGACGCCTGGAGGCTCAGCAGGCTGAGATGGTCAGCCAGTTCCAGGCCATGATGCAGTCCCACTGGAACAAGGCCCTCCAGCTCTTTGCCACCAGTGGCGCTTCCCTCCAGCCTTCACCCAAAGCCCCGCACCAGGAGGCTGAAGCAGACCCCAAGTCGGAATTTCTATCCCCCCTCTTATATGCAAAAAAAGACCCCGAAGGGGGAGACTCTTTGCAGCAATACAAACGTTCATTGCACATATCTGTCCCAGGGGACGTAGTTTGAGGACCCCTGATTTAGTGGAATATAAAAAATGCAAATAATTTTTCTGTGGACCACCAAAATTTTCTCACGGACCACCAGTGGTTAACAAAATCAGCATTAATGCACACTTCCCTTATGCGTCTTTTTCCCCATAGGGAAATGCAAGTAGCTAAGCAAATTTTAATGCAACTTTCCAAATATATATAGTGCTTTTCTTCCAGATGTACACTATTCAAAAACAAAACTTTGGGAACTGAGAAAATCTATGCCCCAAATAGAGATAATGTGACTTTTAATTCTCAAAAGATTATCAGCAGATTTTAATAACTTGATTATTCTAAATTGGATGAAGGAAATTCATAGGTAGATTGTGTTTCCTAATTATTAAGGAAAGGGTTGAAAACTTCAGCATGTATAATGCAGGTAGTCCTTGACAATGGAGCCCAAAATTTCTGTTACTAAGTGAGACAAAATCCCATTGATTTTGCTTGTCAGAAGGTCTCAAAAGGTGACCACATAACCCTGGGGCATTGCAACC